TATTATGGTCTTTCAGCCTTTCACTAGATGATCTATCACAGAGAGGTTACTTGTCAACTTATATTCGGGGGTTGAATCACACAATACCTTAATTCTGATCAGTTAGGAGGAGCCTGTATCATGTTTCCTTAGTGATTGTTCTGGAAACACCTGATGTGGCAAGTTGTGAGTTTTGATAAGTCAGACAATTTAACCAGGTTTCACTATATTTGATCTAAGCACTGATCAACTACTAGCCATTACTTAAACCTATGTATAGTGACCTTGTTACCATGGCATCTGCTAAAAACTCCCTACATAGACATCTACAGATGGTCTCTAATATTCCAAAGTAGTTTCACATAAATCAGTTCACAAGAAAAGATCTTGATATATACAGGCAGACTGACTAATGGATGGATGAACGGACGGACGGACAGACAACCTGTCTGCTATTAATGTATTCAGAGATATCAACTAAATCTCCACTTGCACTCCTGTTAATAGGATTTCTTCATACAATTATAATTAAAATAATAGTATATAAGAGTACATAAAGATACTATAAGCTAAATAGGTATACACCTCTATTCCTATCAGAATAATTGTTGTGTTGGTGTTTGTTTTTAGACATTTCCCTTTACCAATAAAAAATAAGGTTTTTCAAATAAATTTTACTCATACCAACTGCATATCCTCCAAAGACAATAGCAATGGTGGAGATTTCCATCCACATGGGTGTATTGTCTGGTCTCCCTAAAAACCAGAGCAGCACCAAAAGGGAGTTTTCCCCTAGAACTACAACATGGTAGGCTAGTATCCTCCATCTGGCCCTGCTGTCCTTAAGGTTCAGGAAGCAAAATATATAAATAAAACCAGAAACACTGTTGAATAGACGTTTCTCACAAGCAGTTTCACCAAAATCTGCATTCTGTAGTGTAATCCAGAAAGTCATCACACACCAATGGATTCCTGAAAAGACATTTTTTTTTAATTTCTTACTGGTAAATACAATGTTCTTCAAAACAACTGATTCTGTTTCCCTTCTTTTGTTTTCTCCATTTTGATTACTAAATTCAAAATTCTAAATGTAAATCCATGATAATAAGTTATGAAATACAATTTCATGAAGAAAATTTGTCAAAAGGTAAGACTGTACTTTCAAAAAACAAATTAAATAACAATAATAAGAAACAAGCAAGGGCTGTTGACCTTTGAATCTGTACTGTTGACCATCAAAATCTGATCTGGTGTAGAACTTGATATTGTGATACCAATGTACATAGTATGAATATGAAGTAAATCTGTTTTGGGGTTATTTTCCCCTCTAAATATAAACAAATTACCCGTCAGGAAAATAATTTGAAAACATTTGGAAATTTCCTCAAAAGTTTTCCCCAAAACAGAGCTTATTAGTATATTCTTACTTCAGAGCATATTTTCAAATCATGCCGTCATGAAAAAGATATATCAATATGACCGAAACATTGTTATATTTTATCCATGTTATCTTCATATACGTCATATATTTCACTTTTTCTGTATTTTTAGTTCACATCAAAAGTGCTGTCCAAAATTTCTCCATTTTTCTCAATATGCCAAAAATTCCCCTTTTCCACAAAGTGTATTATTCTCCAGATTCTACATTCACCCATGCATAGTTTTAACAGAGTAAATGTATTTATTACGATGAACAGATTACTGTAGTATTTTCCATTTCCTAATACCCACTGCATGTTGCACAAAAATGCTTATAATTAATTACTTCTGCTAGCTTTTTTTTACTCAGTCAAGACTGTTATGTTAAACATTTACCCATAGCCAAGAAGATCCAGGCCTGGTACAGGGTGGAGAAGACAACAATTGCCATGACCCGTGCAGATATCATGGCTGTTTGCCAGGTGGTGTGGGCTAACATGCTCAACCATTTTCTGTTGTACTTATCCTTGTAGGCAAGGCGCAGACCATCTGTGTATGCTGTCATGGACCAAGCCATAGACATCAGGGAGAGGACAGTGGAAAACCCTGGACAGAAATAAAAAGACATATAGCTGTCAAATATACAGGTGTTTAATGTGAATCCTCAATCTAATGTTATCTGCCAGTCTGGCAAAGTTGTAGGAGTAAAAGCAATTAACTTATGAATTGAATGAATTTTTTTTTAAATAATTTAATGAATAAAACATAAGACACACAACTTTTAAAATAGTACATGATTTTCAACTTAAGCCTTATAATTATCTTCACCAATTTATCTATACATTTGAGATCAAAGCTTATTAGTGTCTAAGTCTAAAAAGTATTACAGGTATGTGAATTGTATCACATATTTCTAGTAATAAGAAAATCAACATAAATCTCGCCTGTATGAAATTAGCAGTGACTACCCAGACTTTGACCTCTGACCAGGTGATGTCATAAGATTAGCCAATTATGTTTACACTGTATTGATACTAAGAATGATTGTGTGAAATGATAATACAGTGTATTTCTGTTTGTTATATTTCAAAACTAATTGTTACTTGTAAGCAAATGTTAATGATATCTCTTCACATAAAACAATTAATTTTGCACTTAGGTTGCTATTGAATAGAATCTTTAATCCCCATACTGCTAAGGGTGAGATAGGAGATCTCAAGCAGAAGAGCAAGATTATTGAGTTGATGAACACAAAGCATGTTGTATGGTTTTGCAACTTAAGCACGTGACATTATTGTTATTTGGGTTTTGAAGTCTTGAAATTGTTATGACAGTTGAATTCCTGAATTTCCACAATAGTATAAGAGAATGAAATAATTTTCCACCAGTACAAGTGTGGATTAAAATAATTTTCCACCAGTACAAGTGTGGATTAAAATCATTTTCCACCAGTACAAGTGTGGATTAAAATAATTTTCCACCAGTACAAGTGTGGATTAAAATAATTTTCCACCAGTACAAGTGTGGATTAAAATAATTTTCCACCAGTACAAGTGTGGATTAAAATAATTTTCCACCAGTACAAGTGTGGATTAAAATAATTTTCCACCAGTACAAGTGTGGATTAAAATAATTTTCCACCAGTACAAGTGTGGTTTAAAATAATTTCAATTAGTAAAAGTGTGGATTAAAGTAAAGAGAAAGTGTGGATTAAAATAATTTCTCTCCACAAATCACTTCAGATTGTTATAAACTTATGTTCACAATTTTCTCTCTTGTTGAGTTTTCTCTTTATTTGTCACGTGTGCAATTGTTTTGCTCTTAAACATGAAAACACTCTAGCTAGCTATATAGACAGGACTGGATCTATTAACAAATCATTATAAAAATAATGGTATTATATTGCTATACACCTTTAAATTAAATTGATGAGTTTGCTTTCTTTACCTAAGTAAATTCTATTTTTTTTCTATAACTTATTATACAAATGGTTTTATATTATGTATATATACAACTACAAGTATATATACAATTAACAGTTTGCTACCTCATCTGACCCCTTACTGAACTGCTGGTACATAATGTAGCTGTAAACTAAGTCACCCAACCCCCACCTGAACTGTTAGTAACAGTGTGCTAACTCACCTAAGCCCCCAATGAACTGTTAGGAGCGGTATGCTTACTCACCTAACACCCAACTGAACTGCTGGTATCGCAGTATAATGTATAACTGTAAGATAAGTTGAGGTGCTGACTCTACAAAGCACTCAATCAATCGCAGCAGGCAGATATCATTATTGGCACGGAATACTGCATCAAGGTCCTGTCGACTCTTTGTCTGCTTTGCTCGAATTCCAAGTCGTATGGCTTGAAAATACCTTAATAAGCATAATAGAATAATTCAATACGAGTGAAAAAAATCCAACGAAAAGCAATAAAACACATCCTTACCATGTTTATATGTATTGATTTATTGATTATATTAATAAAGTAATTCTGTCAAATTAATGCACATAAGATGACAGCTGCTTTCCACCACTGCCGAATACAGCAAATATACACATGTTAGCTGTATTCTGACAATGGTGGCGCCAGTTGCAGGATAAAATACAATAATGGATGAATCGAGTAACTGTATTCTGATTTCTGTATTCATTAAGTATATATACCTGTGGGCTGGTGCTAGGAACAGGGCGTGGAAAAGGAAAGTTTTCCAAGTCAATGTCTTGTCAGCTGCATGCCAACTAAAACTGAAAATCTGCATCAGAAATGTTGACAAGGCGACAAATGCCATTGATAATGAAGCCCATATTTGGTGGCCATCAATTAGGAATGTCACAATCAGAAGAATATCTGTAAACAAGCAAAATTAAAATAAATTGAATAAAATTGTTCAAGCAATATATAATTCGGAAAAGTAGGGCATTCAGATCACTTCACAAGTCTTCGTTTGTGGGAATTTCTCTTTTAGCTTATAATTAGTGGCAGGGTGAACGTCCCCCATACAGTGCAAAGCCAAAAGTCTCTAGATTTAGTTCAAGTTCAATGTTTAAAGTTATTAGTGTCTTTTGTACAATCTTACATGTATCAATAGGCGATCCCGTTACTCGTTATCATTAATTATTTGATAAGATTCCCAAATTATTTATAAATATTATGTCAAGACCAATAACTTTCCGTAGCTTAATTAGATTGAAGTCTGCAAAATATCAGATCATACTGGCTATAAAAAATGGATTTTTGACACATTCCTACCTGATACAACATCTATTATATATGTGAACAGCGATAAAATAGTCACAAAGACATCATATAGGGTGAAAGCCTTCTTCTTCATCTTGAAATGTATGTTATGCACCCATTGTATTATTGTCAGTTTAAATTTGGCGCACTGCTCTGAACGCAATCCTCCATTTTGAAATTTTGACCCGTGACCTTTGACTTGCTTAGATAAAATGCGAAAATTTTGAAACACTGAAACAATAAAATGACAGTTCTACATAATAAAGTAAATTTTATGTTATAATAATTTTTATTTAGAGATTTTTTTTTCTGTCCCAGTTCTCCTTGTACGAGATTTCAATTCAACATGGCAGCGCCCATGGAGCATCAAAAATACGAGCATGAAAACAAATCGCTGGTTATAGGTGTCTACTGTTAATGTGTGTTTGTACCAACTGAAGATTGTTTCGGCGCATTATATCACAACAAAAGTGATATTTTTATAGAGGTAAGAAGGTAATTTACTGCATGGTAATATAATGCCATACAATGATAAGAATATCTATAGATATACGAAGGAAATACAGTTAAAGGGAGGTAACTAGAACGCACAGGATATACAAGTCCAAGACACGGGTTCGTGAGGAATGTATGTATTGCTAACGAACCTCAGTGATCAATGCAAGGTCTTTTTTTACGTTGTGTTCAGAAAAGCAACACTGTAAGGAAGGAAACATTTAAAATATTAGAAAAATGATAAGAATAAACAAATAATATTAGCATATACAACCCAGATGACTTTGCTTAGTGTTTGACGTTTATTTCTTCTGAATATAGAAACCTCTAATTGATGTAAGTATAAATGCATGTATTTCTAAATGTTTAAGAAAAGATTGCTAAATAAATAATTAGAATCTAGTGTGATATGATAATACATGGATAGTGCATTATTTAGAATACTTTATCAATAATTGAAATAAGATGAAACAGCCTTAAAAAATCTTATTTTATTAATGCTAATTTTATAAAAAGATATGTTGTTAATTTTTCTAACAAGCTCTAAATTTTAAGATAAAAATTATTAGAATTGTGCTCAAATGAAAGTAAACATATTCAAGATTCTTTAAACATGAGATAAGATATAGCACTAAGAACTTTTATATGCTGCAAAAATGCATCACATGAGAGCAGTATTTTTACAGTTACAACTTAAACAAAAATCAAAGTTTTATAAATTGTCATTTCTTGGGCAAGTAGCAAATATGCTTGAATGAAGCAAGCCTTGAGCTTTCAGATAGGTTCAAATGCATTTACCTTGACCATTTTCAAAGTCAGAATGGTCAAATGTGTTAAATTCTCAAACCAAATTCTTCTAAATAACCAAAAGCCCTAGGATCATTAGAGGTTCATTTGAATTTGTTGAGATAAGTGAACACAATCAACTTTCAAGGTCACAGAGGTCAAATGTGATAAATTCTGAAGACATTTTCTTTTTAATAACCATAAGGCCCACAATAGAAAGGGTCACGATGTGGCCAGTAGCATGCTGGGAGTAACAATTCTTTTCTATTTTAGTTTATAATTTTGTTCTACCTAAATGTACTGCATCTAATTCTTTGATTTTCTTGGTACACATTAATAAAACATACATTAAGTGTGAAATGATAACTTGAGACTTATTAAATAACTACCTAGAACTGTGTATGTTTTATAATATGCCCCTTGGTTAAGAACTCTGTATTGAAAAAAATACAGTAAATTAATAATAATAATGAGATAACTAATTTTTCATTTGTTAGGAAGATGGCAGGGCGCTTATCCCCTATGCCTACGGTGGCAGATATTATCAAACTTTACCGCATCAGTGCAAAAAAACACCTGTCTCAAAACTTCTTGTTTGATATGAATATCAATCGGAAAATTGTGAAAGCTGCAGGACGCATCACTAATGGATATGTATGTGAGGTGGGGCCAGGCCCAGGTGGTATCACCAGAGCAATACTGGATAAGGAGGTGGAACACTTAGTCGTCATAGAGAAGGATAGCAGGTTCATACCCAGCTTACAGGTAACACATCACTTAGTCACTTTAGATATAGGTAACACATCACAAATTCACTCTAGATACCGTTAAACATCACAGAGTCACCCCAAGTATACAATTAACAGGTCACACCCAGCTTACAGGTAACACATCATGTGATCACACCAGCAACTACACAATTTTATGGTCACACCCAACTTAAACATTATTTAGTCACCCTAAGTACACAATTTTATGGTCACACCCAACTTAAACATTATTTAGTCACCCTAAGTACACAATTTTATGGTCACACCCAACTTAAACATTATTTAGTCACCCTAAGTACACAATTTTATGGTCACACCCAACTTACAATAACAAAGTCTCACCCAGCTTACATATCACACAGCCAGACTAAGTACACAATCACCAGGTGGTCACACCCAGCTTACATATCACATAGCCAGACTAAGTACACAATCACCAGGTGGTCACACCCAGCTTACATATCACATAGCCAGACCAGTAACACAATCACCAGCTGGTCACACCCAGCTTACATATCACATAGGCAGACTAAATACACAATCACCAGCTGGTCACACACAGCTAACATATCACATAGGCAGACTAAATACACAATCACCAGGTGGTCACACACAGCTAACATATCACATAGGCAGACTAAATACACAATCACCAGGTGGTCACACACAGCTTACTTATCACATAGGCAGACTAAATACACAATCACCAGCTGGTCACACACAGCTAACATATCACATAGGCAGACTAAATACACAATCACCAGGTGGTCACACCTAGCTTACTTATCACATAGGCAGACTAAATACACAATCACCAGGTGGTCACACCTAGCTTACTTATCACATAGCCAGACCAATAACACAATCACCAGCTGGTCACACCCAGCTTACATATCACATAGCCAGACCAATAACACAATCACCAGCTGGTCACACCCAGCTTACATATCACATAGGCAGACTAAACACACAATCACCAGCTGGTCACACACAGCTAACATATCACATAGGCAGACTAAACACACAATCACCAGCTGGTCACACACAGCTAACATATCACATAGGCAGACTAAACACACAATCACCAGCTGGTCACACCTAGCTTACATATAACATAGGCAGACTAAATACACAATCACCAGCTGGTCACACACAGCTAACATATCACATAGGCAGACTAAACACACAATCACCAGCTGGTCACACACAGCTAACATATCACATAGGCAGACTAAACACACAATCACCAGCTGGTCACACCCAGCTTACATATCACATAGGCAGACTAAACACACAATCACCAGCTGGTCACACACAGCTAACATATCACATAGGCAGACTAAACACACAATCACCAGCTGGTCACACCCAGCTTACATATCACATAGGCAGACTAAACACACAATCACCAGCTGGTCACACCCAGCTTACATATCACATAGGCAGACTAAACACACAATCACCAGCTGGTCACACCTAGCTTACTTATCACATAGGCAGACTAAATACACAATCACCAGCTGGTCACACCCAGCTTACATATCACATAGGCAGACTAAACACACAATCACCAGCTGGTCACACCCAGCTTACATATCACATAGGCAGACTAAACACACAATCACCAGCTGGTCGCACCTAGCTTACTTATCACATAAGCAGACTAAATACACAATCACCAGCTGGTCACACCCAGCTTACATATTACATAGGCAGACTAAACACACAATCACCAGCTGGTCACACCCAGCTTACATATCACACAGGCAGACTAAACACACAATCACCAGCTGGTCGCACCTAGCTTACTTATCACATAGGCAGACTAAATACACAATCACCAGCTGGTCACACCCAGCTTACATATCACATAGGCAGACTAAACACACAATCACCAGCTGGTCGCACCTAGCTTACTTATCACATAGGCAGACTAAATACACAATCACCAGCTGGTCACACCCAGCTTACATATCACATAGGCAGACTAAACACACAATCACCAGCTGGTCACACCTAACTTATAGGTAAATATCACAACGTTACATACTTAAAGGTCCATATCACAAGGTCACACTTTCTTAAAGGTATATTTTTCAAACTCAAAGTATACCTTACAGATTTGTTTTTATGTCATTGTGAATATTTTGCTGCAAGTATAAGATCTGGCAGAGTAACTCAATTTTTACCATTTCTGGTAAATGTCCACCAGGCATAATTATTGAGGTCACCTTATTTCATAAGAAACATGCTGTATGATGTAGTTTACATCATTAACTCGTTCAACTTTATCTAAATCTAAATTTGTATTTAAAGGGACTATTCACTTGTGTGTCTTTTGTACAATCTTTGAAGGTCAGTCAATCAGTATTAATTGTTTAGATAAATTCTGCCTTGACCCAATTTGAAGGTGACACACTAGAAATAAAAAGAATGTGTTTCCCAACACTGAGGTGACCAAAATAGGAAATACATGTATATTAGGCACATAGAAGGTTTTATTACTGATGAACCAGCAGTAGATATTGTAGTTATCTATGTATGTACCATATCTATCCTCCAATATGCCTAGGGAGCTGGAGGAGGAGGGGTCAACACACATCCTCTTATTTAACATTAAGAGGTGATTTAATCACAGGATTTCAGTTAACATCAGTTTGTGTTCTAGTAAACAGTAGTAGATATGACTGGAATTATTACTAAACAATTACAATACAGTGGTTACAAGAACGTTTTATGATAAGTTATCATTACTTGCAGACTTTATCCCAAGAGTCCGACAACAAGCTGCGGGTGATCCTCGGAGATGTGTTACACTTTGATATGAGTCGCCTGTTTCCAGAGGAACTGATCACTCCGTGGAATGGAGATCCCCCAAATATTCACATCATTGGAAACCTTCCTTTTAATGTGGCCACTCCACTCATTATTAGGTACCTAGAGTCTATATCTAAACAGAGCAGTGTGTGGCGTTATGGACGCGTCAGGATGACTTTGACATTTCAAAAGGAAGTTGCTGACAGAATAGTGTCCCCTATTCTTAAAGATGAGCGATGTCGTCTTTCTGCCATGTGTCAAAACTGGTGCCATGTTACCAACAAGTTTACTATTCCAGGTATATATTCTTCAGAACTGAGTCATTTTTTTATTACATGTGAATTTTGAAAAGTTTGCTTTTGATCTATTGATTGACTTAAATGTTTAATTTGCTGCCAATGTTTCATTTTGTCAAATAACAATTCTCTCAATTAGGTTTGAAATTTCCATATATACATTGTAGACCATGATTTTATACAAAGGACTGTTTTGTTCGGGTATTTTGTGTTGAGGACTTAATATGATTGTGTATGGTTATAGGTCTATTGTTTCATACTGAGGAATAGATGGGTCTTGTCTTAGAAAAGTTTGTACAGAAGACTGATGTTCATGCTTTGAGTTGTAGGGCCTTTATTTTTGTAATGAAGACTGAATAATAGTTCTTTTTCTTACAGGTGCAGCTTTTGTTCCAAAGCCTAAGGTAGATGTGGGTGTGGTCCACTTCCTGCCACGAATTAAACCCATGATTCAACTTCCCTTTCCCCTAGTTGAGAAAGTCTGTAAACATGTTTTTCACCACAGGAACAAAAAATTATCATTTGGACTGAAGTAAGTAACAACATTTTGTTGTGTTATTGTCAGTGTTATTTTTGTAACACTGTTTTTGCCATGTTATATTTGTAACACTGTGTTTGTGTTTATGGTATATTTGTAACACTGTGTTTGTGTTTATGGTATATTTGTTTTGCTGTATTTTTAAGTCACCTGAGACAAAGTCTAAGGATGACCTATTGCTATCCCCTTTTGTCCAGTGTCGTGTGTTATAAACTTTTTTCAATATTTTCGACTACTTCTGGAAAACTCCAGAACCAATTGCAATGAAATTTTGCAAAAACCTTTATGACTATAGGCGCACCAAAAATATATGGTCTCCAACCCCAAGGGGCCTGAGGGACAGGGCCAAAAAGGGTCGAATTGATTGAAATTTCTAAAATCGTCTTTCCAAATCCCAGGTATGGTAGAATTACATAATCTTCAATGATTGAAAGGCCTTCAGATGCTTATATTGGAAAATTACATTTTTGAACATTATTTTTTTTTCTATTGTAGAAAGTTCAAACCTGTTTAGAGTTATTAGTTTAAGATGATTATTTAATGAGATACACATATTGACCTTGGCTGACCTCCAGAGGCTACTGGGTGGGGCCAAAAATGGGTCAAATTGACTTAAATTTAAAAAACTGTTTTCAATACCTAGATAATGTAGGGCCAAATACTCTTTATGGATGGAAGTTTCTCATGTTTCTTTGTAAATTTAATGACCCTAGGGTCTCACATTTTCCCCATGGGGAGGGGGTAAAATTTACTTAATATTATATATAAGAAAATCATACTTTTGAGCACAATTTTATTTATTTTCTTTTAGAAATAGTTCAAACTTGGTTAGATTTTTTTTTATTAGTATAAGCTGATAGTTTGATGAGATGCACATATTGACCTTGACTGACCCCGGGGGCTTATGGGTCAAATTAACTGAAATTTCAAAGATGTTCTACTGCTCCTGGATGAAAGATTCAAATGTTGAGTGTAATATCTTTTAATTCCAACGTGTTTGTAAGCCTTAGCATGGGACAACAGTTAATGTACACACAATTTACATTAACATTATGTGTACAATTTAATTAAAATTTTTTACTTTTTTTAACAAAATCATTTCTATGACATGCTACAAGAAGCATTGTGACTCAGGTGATTGTTACGGCAATTGGGCCTCTTGTTGTCAGTGTATACATTGTATTTGTAACAATGTGTTTTTGCCAATGTTCTACATTGTATTTGTCAGTGTCACCTTTGTAATGCTGTGTTTCTGAAAAAAAAAATCTGCATAACTTTAATCTTACTTTGAACAAAATGTTTCTGTTTTTCCAGGAATGGCTATTGTCAGAAATCCACAAGACTCTGTTCTGTGGTTTCTGATGGGAGTGGCAAGGACTCAGAATTTTACACCAAAAGCTTTTCTGTTGTATGTGTTAATGACTATTAAACACACTGAAATTTTGATACTATAAAACAACAATTATCTGACAGCCATGTCACACATTAACAATTTACAGAATTTATACAGGCGTATGATGAATAAATCAACGGTCCCTAAAATGCTGGCCTATGCTGAATTATCAATGTCTGTTTCAATTTTTTATTCATGCACACCATATTCTTAACAAGTGGCACATACAATATTTGTACATCAATTTATAATGTGTTTTGGACAACCAGAGCACTTTCATAATGTGTTTCTAGACTACAGGTATAGTATGATGACATGTTGAAGGGTTTAGGAAACATAAAATGGGGTTCACATTAGGCGGCCCTCAGTAGTCCATGTTATCTGAAGAATAGCGGAGATGTACAAGTTGTCCTAAATCATCAGAATAACCTCCTAAAATATCAGAATAACCTCCTAAAATATCAGAATAACCTCCTAAATCATCAGAATAACCTCCTAAATATCATCAGAAATAACCTCCTAAATATCAGAATAACCTCCTAAATATCAGAATAACTCCTAAATATCAGAATAACCTCCTAAATCATCATAATAACCTCCTGAAATATCAGAATAACCTCCTAAATATCAGAATAACCTCCTAAAATATCAGAATAACCTCCTAAATCATCAGAATAACCTCCTAAATCATCAGAATAACCTCCTAAATCATCAGAATAACCTCCTAAAATATCAGAATAACCTCCTAAATCATCAGAATAACCTCCTAAATCATCAGAATAACCTCCTAAATATCAGAATAACCTCCTAAATCATCAGAATAACCTCCTAAATATCAGAATAACCTCCTAAATCATCAGAATAACCTCCTAAATCATCAGAATAACCTCCTAAAATATCAGAATAACCTCCTAAATCATCAGAATAACCTCCTAAATCATCAGAATAACCTCCTAAATCATCAGAATAACCTCCTAAATATCAGAATAACCTCCTAAATATCAGAATAACCTCCTAAATATCAGAATAACCTCCTAAATCATCAGAATAACCTCCTAAATCATCAGAATAACCTCCTAAATATCATAATAACCTCCTAAATCATCAGAATAACCTCCTAAATATCAGAATAACCTCCTAAAATATCAGAATAACCTCCTAAATATCAGAATAACCTCCTAAATCATCAGAATAACCTCCTAAATCATCAGAATAACCTCCTAAATCATCAGAATAACCTCCTAAATCATCAGAATAACCTCCTGAAATATCAGAATAACCTCCTAAATATCAGAATAACCTCCTAAATATCAGAATAACCTCCTAAAATATCAGAATAACCTCCTAAATCATCAGAATAACCTCCTAAATATCAGAATAACCTCCTAAATATCAGAATAACCTCCTAAAATCAAATAACCTCCTAAAATATCAGAATAACCTCCTAAAATATCAGAATAACCTCCTATCAGAATAACCTCCTAAATATCATAACCTCCTAAAATAACCTCCTAAATATCAGAATCAGAATAACCTCCTAAATCCTCCTATCATCAGAATAACCTCCTAAATATCAGAATAATAACCTCCTAAATATCAGAATAACCTCCTAAAATATCAGAATAACCTCCTAAATCATCAGAATAACCTCCTAAATCATCAGAATAACCTCCTAAATTATCAGAATAACCTCCTAAAATATCAGAATAACCTCCTAAATATCAGAATAACCTCCTAAAATATCAGAATAACCTCCTAAATCATCAGAATAACCTCCTAAAATATCAGAATAACCTCCTAAATATCAGAATAACCTCCTAAATATCAGAATAACCTCCTAAAATATCATCAAATAACCTCCTAAATATCAGAATAACCTCCTAAATCATCAGAATAACCTCCTAAATATCAGAATAACCTCCTAAAATCATCAGAATAAATATCAGAATAACCTCCTAAATATCAGAATAACCTCCTAAATATCAGAATAACCTCCTAAATATCAGAATAACCTCCTAAAATATCAGAATAACCTCCTAAAATATCAAATATCAGAATAACCTCCTAAATATCAGAATAACCTCCTAAAATAACCTCCTAAATATCAGAATAACCTCCTAAATATCATCCTCCTAAATATCAGAATAACCTCCTAAAATATCAGAATAACCTCCTAAATATCAGAATAACCTCCTAAATCATCAGAATAACCTCCTAAAATATCATAACCTCCTAAATCATCAGAATAACCTCCTATCAGAATAACCTCCTAAGAATAACCTCCTAAATATCAGAATAACCTCCTAAATCATCAGAATAACCTCCTAAATATCAGAATAACCTCCTAAATATCATAATAACCTCCTAAAATATCAGAATAACCTCCTAAATCATCAGAATAACCTCCTAAATCATCAGAATAACCTCCTAAATCATCAGAATAACCTCCTAAATTATCAGAATAACCTCCTAAAATATCAGAATAACCTCCTAAAATATCAGAATAACCTCCTAAATATCAGAATAACCTCCTAAATCATCAGAATAACCTCCTAAATCATCAGAATAACCTCCTAAATATCAGAATAACCTCCTAAAATATCAGAATAACCTCCTAAATCATCAGAATAACCTCCTAAAATATCAGAATAACCTCCTAAATCATCAGAATAACCTCCTAAAATATCAGAATAACCTCCTAAATATCAGAATAACCTCCTAAAATATCAGAATAACCTCCTAAATCATCAGAATCATCAGAATAACCTCCTAAATATCATAATAACCTCCTGAAATATCAGAATAACCTCCTAAGATATCAGAATAACCTCCTAAAATATCAGAATAACCTCCTGAAATATCAGAATAACCTCCTAAAATATCAGAATAACCTCCTAAATATCAGAATAACCTCCTAAATCATCAGAATAACCTCCTAAATCATCAGAATAACCTCCTAAAATATCAGAATAACCTCCTAAATATCAGAATAACCTCCTAAAATATCAGAATAACCTCCTAAATATCAGAATAACCTCCTAAATCATCAGAATAACCTCCTAAAATATCAGAATAACCTCCTAAAATCAGAATCCTCCTAAATATCAGAATAACCTCCTAAATATCAGAATAACCTCCTAAAATATCAGAATAACCTCCTAAATCATCAGAATAACCTCCTAAAATATCAGAATAACCTCCTAAATCATCAGAATAACCTCCTAAATATCATAATAACCTCCTAAATCATCAGAATAACCTCCTAAATCATCAGAATAACCTCCTAAAATATCAGAATAACCTCCTAAATATCAGAATAACCTCCTAAATCATCAGAATAACCTCCTAAAATATCAGAATAACCTCCTAAATATCAGAATAACCTCCTAAAATATCAGAATAACCTCCTAAATCATCAGAATAACCTCCTAAATATCAGAATAACCTCCTAAATATCAGAATAACCTCCTAAAATATCAGAATAACCTCCTAAAATATCAGAATAACCTCCTAAATATCAGAATAACCTCCTAAATCATCAGAATAACCTCCTAAATATCAGAATAACCTCCTAAAATATCAGAATAACCTCCTAAAATATCAGAATAACCTCCTAAATCATCAGAATAACCTCCTAAAATATCAGAATAACCTCCTAAATATCAGAATAACCTCCTAAATCATCAGAATAACCTCCTAAGATATCAGAATAACCTCCTAAAATATCAGAATAACCTCCTAAATCATCAGAATAACCTCCTTAATATCAGAATAACCTCCTAAAATATCAGAATAACCTCCTAAATATCAGAATAACCTCCTAAATATCAGAATAACCTCCTAAAATATCATAATAATCTCATTGGTTTGACCATGTACTTGTTACATGCTAAAACAGTCAGGAGAAGATGAGACAAAGGTAATATAAGGTACTGGATGAGACCACAGATCAGGGAATATGGTTGTTTGGCTTTTATTACCAGCTCATGGTAAAATTCCATAATGAGAAGCATTCATCCTACACCTATTTTTGGATTGTCGGCGGAACGCTGTCGCACGATATGTATGAGTGAGACTGTGGTTGTTCATATGTTGGGAACACATGCTTAGCAGTTGTTACTTGTCGGTTAGAATTCAGATTTAGGTATTGTAGATATTGTTTTTATGTACTTCAACTTCTGTGAAACTTACTACCAGTGGTAATATGTGTGAGCTTGCTTGAAAGATTGAGTAACTTATCTACAACTTACTTCTGCTTATATGGAATATATGAGCCATACGCTGGCATACAAAACTTACATATACTTTATTTGACCCATCCAGTCTTTTAACAATGTCTTTCATATGTCAACAAATGCTGGCTAAATTGTCAATATTTGACAATACTGTTACATGTACATTCAAACTTTGGTCTGTTGTGGAAATTAATTTAGCGTGGCTTTCTGTAAGCTTTTTCGAAATGTATACTTCAAAATCTTTGTACATTTTAATAAAAGTTAATTTATTTTCATGAAACAACTTGGATAATTTACCAAATACTGAAAGGAATGCCTTTCATATTTTAAGTTCCATTACCCAGTAGTGTATTCTAAACATAATTTATTAGTTTGTGAATATATCGATTCATTGATTAAGATTCAGAGTACAAATGAAAATAAAATCTCCACTAAAATTTATGGCTTTACAGTATATATTTTACAGACTGATTTAATTGTGAATATATTTCACTTGAACATTGAGAACTTGAATCAATTTAATCAATTAGTGTCCTTATCAATATGTTTAAAGCCTGGCCACAAAGATACAATGTAGATATGATTTCAATTATTGATCATTCTGCTGAGGATTATCTGTGAAAACTTTCCTTTCTCAATTTTTCACTGTTAATTGGATAGTTATAATGTGAAACAAATTAATATTACCTAAAGTATCTACAAATCTAAGGCTGCTGATTGCCCTGAATAATTGTATTGCGTTCCTTTCCCTCACAAAGGGGACTAAAGAATTTCATGTCAGTAGCTATTAGCTCTTCACTCAGTCTGCCGTGAAATTAGATGAAGTTGAATCATATGGTGTAATGTCCTGTTGAGCACCTAACATGATACAAATTACGTACAATGGCGTCCCGTACATGGTAATGACAATTCAATGCTTTTAGCAGGTCAGAGTTCGACTGTTGTTCTCCAGTGTTAGAGAGTTTGCTTAATTACGTTACCATTAATACAAAATCCAATTAGATGTTTCAGAACGTTGCAGTATTACCAAGGCAATGCTTTTCATAGAAGATGTAGAATGTTAATGTTTGTAACAATCAATAGGTGATTATTTAGTAAAAACAAAATATTGATTAATAGAACAGTGGCTGATGTTGATTAACTGTTAAGTGTAGCTTAAACCTCCATCTACATAGGAAGTGGTGTTGTTTACGAGGTGTGGGTGGGTTGTTTATTGTCTCCTTTCGCTGTCTGATAGATCTCCTCCATCTAATGATTCCTATATAAACAGCTATACAGCCTCTTCAACTACTTCAATCAATTATTGATTGTTTAAATTTAATTTTGTTGCAACATCTTTGTTGTTTCATTTTTTTCTACCTGTTCAAAAACAATTTTTCAGTTTAAGTGAATGAATGTCATTAATTGCTATAGAATTGATCCTCAGAGATTTAATCTGGTACAATCTGTTGTCCATGGTCTTTCATCTATCCGTAAACAATCCATGTTATTGCTATTTCTTTGGAAGACCTGAAGGGATATATCTCAAACCTAATGTTTATGTTTCCCATAATCCCTAGTAGTGCTGATTTCATTTTGAGACTGATAATTGTCACAAAATGACGAATAGGCAGCCATCTTGTATTTGGAGTGTTGAAGTCTGCTATGAGCTTATTGCAATTTTTTAGTAGAATTGGAAGGATATTCCTCAAACTTAATGTGTATGTTCTATTTAAAATTACAAATGGGCTTCCTACTTTAATTTTGACAGTTGAAATTTGTTATCACTATTTCTCCTTTTACTTCTTGAGAAGTACAATTTTGAATCCAATCATTGAAAAACGATGGCCGACAGCAGCCATCTTGGAATTTTGCACTTTAACATTGTTATTACTATTTCTTCAGAAGTACGGCATAAATATTTCTCAAACATCATGTGTATATGTATTCCCTGTGGTCCCTAGGTGTGCACATTCAATTTTAGTTTGCTCAAGTAAATAAAATGGCTGACCAGAGACATTCTTAGATTTGAAAAGATTTTGAAGTTTGTTATCACAATTTCTCAGAGTTTTTTGTAGATCTTTATAAGATTGCTTGTGTAAGGTTAACTTGTTATCAGATCATGAAGAGAAAAGGGGGAAAATAGGGATAAATCCGTATGGATTCATTAAATATCATTCAATGGTGGGTGCCATGCTCCCACTGGGATCTCTTATTTAATTATTTATGTCATCCCTTTGCCAATCAGTACTTTGTACATTTAAATGTAATTGTTGTGTTAATAGATTGGGTTGCTTGATGTTTTATGTGTTGAATAATAGACTGTTCATCAGTTAAGTGAATTGACAGTATATTTATCTGTACATGTGGGATTTCTGTGTGTAAACAATAAATAAATCCTGCTATTTGACAAGAACCAGGATATTGATGGTTGTTTTATCAATACGCCATTGAGAACATTGAAATTAGATAATTGAGACAGTTTTTTTTTTCAATTTTTTTCTTTTTGCCTCGTTTTTTTCCTTTTTTTTTTCAATTTTTTTTTTTGTTATTGTTGTGTAGCATTTTGTCAATTTATTTTCATGCTATCAAATGATACACCAAAGAAAATTCCTACAGCTTTATATGCTTTATATACTGTATAAAAGGAACAGGTCATTGTGGCTTGTGCATAGTGTTATATTTAAAGAGCAAATAAACATCAAAGGATGGCCAAGATCTCTCTGAGATCTCTTGTTATAAAGATATTTTAACAATCACCAATCCAAAAGACACTGATAAATTAATTTGTAAGCAAAAACACATCTCTCGATCCCAACATTACAAAATTGTTATTGTATTTGGCACTTAAGAGATACAAACTTGATGTTGATATTGGATCCATAATCTTAAACTTTGATCATGTTACTTCTCATGTAATTATACCCAGTCATTTCTGATTCAAAAAATGAATCCAAATTATTTACGAGTTGAGAGATAGAAAATTTGACTTTGACCTTAACCTTTGTTATTGACTTATTTTATTTTGATCAATTTTACATAATAATATACCACACTATTTAAAAATTTGATATATGATGTTGACCTTTGACCCAAGTCAAGTAACTGGTCACTTGATTTCAATCAACTTTGATTTTAAGATTTGTTATAATGAAATATGTACATGTAAAAAAATCCAAATTTGACTTTGACCTGGTGACCTTGACCTTTTGCATTAGATTTTTGTCAGGTTTGCTCCAACATACTGTCGATGGAAGAATTACTTATTTTCAGTTATGATAAACATTCAGTACAAACTATCTTTATTTTGTTGATTATATTTTAAGATGTTGAGTTTGCTAATAAGAACAGTTAGTGATGTGTCTAGTTTGTGAAATCTAAGCACGTTTGTATAATAAATCTTAACTAGATGTTTGAACTGAGTACAAATCATATTTACTTCTTAGCTGATTGGTAGCTGTAAGAACTGCCAAAATCTTACACTTATGGATTACTTTTGTTTTGTTTAGGACTTTGTACCCACCAGACTTAAGTCACATGACTGAGGAGACCCTGAGTATCACTGAGATCCCTGCAGATACAAGGTCCTACATGTTGACATTGAGTGAGCTGGGACGTCTGTGTCACGTGTATAGTGAAATTTGTGATAGACATCCTCATGTATACTCCTACGACTATCGCAGTGAGGAAGGACAAAGACTTCTCCGTGAGGACAGATTGAAACGCAAACAGGAGAGAGACAGACTACTGGAGAAGGAGAGGCTTGAGAAAGAGAATCACACAGAGTCTGTAATAACAAACAATGAAAAATCAGATTTCACGTGACAATGGTGTCAATAAAATAAATCTGTGGAGGTGTGATACCAATTGATTATAAAGTTTTTAATATCATGAGAAGGGAGGGTAGGGGAGGGATGGATGGTGACATCAAAAGGAGGGAGGGTTATGGATATCATGAGGAGGAAAGGTGTGGAGGGGGGAGGTTTAGTAATATTATGAGTAGGGAGAGGTGGAGTAGGGGCAGGGAGGGTCCTTTTTACTTGTGGACTATATAAGTGTAAACCCTTCTATCCAATTTTTACACAATAGAAACAGTCAAACATGACAATTAAAAATTATTTACCACACCTACTCATTATTCCTTTGTTTAAAAGTATACAGAATATCCTAAAGAATTTAAATTTGGTATTTTGATGTCAAAATCTGTACTTAGATTGTGTTCTTTTTGTATGTACATATATATCAAAGACTATTTTTTATTTGAATTTTGAAATATAGAGGAAGTAGCTTACCTTGTGTGTTCTTATGAATGTAATATGTATATATTTCAGAAGATATTTTATCTCCAAGTTACAATAAAGGAAGTTTTATGTAATAGAAATCATTCTGTTAAGGCAAGCAAACAGATATTTATTCAGAGAGAGGTTTGGTTTGATTTCTGATGACCGATTCTCTGTGTAAGGGTAAAAGCTCTGATTTTATCTTCAGTGATTAGAGTTTGATACATAATTGCTGAATTTGCTAACCTCCTGACAGAGATAGAAAGATGGTATTGCAATCCTCTCTGTCTGTCCTTCTGTCCATCTCCTTCAGTCTGTCTAACTTCTCATATAAATAAAAATTGGTTTCAATACGTTATCTTGAGTTTTGTTCAACCATTTCTACTCACACTTTATCTAGTGCCTCCTTAAAAAAATTGTTTGCTTGGGATTGCTTTTCATACCCAGAGGTCAAATGTCAAGGTCACTGTTACTATCAATAGAAAATCACTTTCAACAGGATATCGTGAGTTCTTTTTGGTCGTTTCCACTCTGACTTAATCCAATGATGATTTTCAGGTCAGCAGATCAAAGGTCAAGGTCACTTTTATTATGAAGATTAGAAGATTGGTTCCCTTACACTTCATCTAGCACTTCCTGAAAGAAAGTGCTTACATGTGATTGCTTTTCAAGTTATTGTTTTATTACTGATTTACAATGCCTTTTATAATAATCTTCATTCACCGTGCCAAGCTTGTAAGACCCATGAAGCATAATAAATAAAAACTAAAACTTGTAATCTGATTGGAATTTGGCTTTTTATTGCATTAAATGACAAATATTAAAATTCATACTTTAGTTATGTCAATATTTACAAAAAGTCTTAGATAGAGACCAATTCTACAATCAAGTGGAATATGCAAAAAGGTTCATTAGGAAAAGTTTGGCCATCCAGTGAACAAACAGAAGGAATACTGTAACATAATTACATTAACATCAAATCCATTTCCGAAATTCATGAAACAAAAAACCTATGAGGAAAAACAGATACATTTCTCCAATAGGTGGAAAATTAATTAACAACAAGATATCAAGGAATATCCTGGTCATTTAAAGCATTAATGCAACTACCAAAAATAAACTCCTATCTACCTTAATAACATGAGAATGATCGGGAATCACCTTGACCTGACAAATATATAAATAGATAAGGATACAACCTGTACCTTATCCTTTTCATTGTCAAAATGAATAATGTACAAAAATAATTAATAGTGAATTAACCTAATCTGTATTGAGAATAACTTAAATTTGATGCAAATAACAAAATATTCTCTTGCCTGTAAAAAAAAAATGAAAGATGGGAAGGAGGTGGGTGAATTGAAAAAATTTAATTTAAATGAGCATACAAAAAACATGAAAGCTAAGATTGACCTTTACCATACAAACTTGATTTATTTTACAACAATTGGGAAACAAGCTATCAGCTTATATTAATCACCCTTATTGGCCCGGATGGAAGAGCGAGGGATGTTACTGTGGGAGGATGCCAGAGTACCCTGGGAAAAACCATGTGGTCTGGCAGGTGACCCCTTACCTTTTCACGTAAGTTCTGGGAATCAAACCCCATACCAAATCACTCCACACCAATCTATGTCCATCCATGACAACATATAACATTCTATCTATATGATGCTTTCAGTAATTAACTTTAAGGATATTTGTTCAGTAAGCAGTCATGGTGAACAGCTTCTGTGATCATGTGATACCATCACACTTGAGTGAAAACGAAGGTTAACGACTGTAACTTGTAATTGGAACTCTCTTAAAATATAGATTTGTGAGTTAATGTCTTTGCATGATAAGCTCTAGTGAATTTATTGTAAGTAAAACACTCTCACTTATGATTACTGATCTTTGACTGTATTTGCCCTGACTGTGCAACTCCAAAGTGTGTCTTTTTGCCATGTGTCTTCAAGACGTGTTCTCCTTGCTGTGTGTATCCCCCAAGGCTATGTCCCTTCAGTTGGGTATGTCCTGTGTGGTATGTCTTGTGAGCTGTGTATATCCCCTGGGGTGTGTCCTGTGTGGTATATCTTGTGAGCTGTGTATATCCCCAGGGGTGTGTCAGTGGTTGTATGTCTTCTGACCTGTGTATATCCTCCAGGGTGTGTCCCTTGTTGTAAGTCTTCAGACCTGTGTATATCCCCTGGGGTGTGTACTGTGTTGTATGTCTTCTGAGCTGTGTATATCCTCCAGGGTGTGTCCCTTGTTGTAAGTCTTCAGACCTGTGTATATCCCCTGGGGTGTGTCCTGTGTTGTATGTCTTCTGAGCTGTGTATATCCCCTAGGGTGTGTCCTGTGTGGTATGTCTTCTGACCTGTGTATATCCCCTGGGGTGTGTCCCGTGCTGTATGTCTTCTGAGCTGTGTATTCCCCCTTCGCTTTGTCCTTTGAGCTCGGTGTGTCCTGTGTGGTATGTCTTCTGAGCAGTGTATCCCCTTTACTTTGTCCCTTGAGCTCGGTGTGTCCTGTGTGGTATGTCTTCTGATTGGTGTGTATCCAAAGCTATGTGTCACAAGCTGTGTGTTTTGAGCTTTATATCTCCCAAACACTCTATTATGTGTCACAGGCTGTGTGTTTTGAGCTTTATTTTTCCCAAACTCTGTATTATGTGTCACAGGCTGTGTGTTTTGAGCTTTATATCTCCCAAACACTGTATTATATGTCACAGGCTGTGTGTTTTGAGCTTTATATTTCCCAAACTCTGTATTGTGTCACAGGCTGTGTGTTTTGAGCTTTATATCTCCCAAACACTCTATTATGTGTCACAGGCTGTGTGTTTCGAGCTTTATATCTCCCAAACACTCTATTATGTGTCACAGGCTGTGTGTTTTGAGCTTTATATCTCCCAAACTCTGTATTATGTGTCACAGGCTGTGTGTTTTGAGCTTTATATCTCCCAAACTCTGTATTATGTGTCACAGGCTTTGTGTCTTTAGCTGTGTTTCTTTGAAGGTTTTGCCTCCTTGAGATATATATCTCCCAGTCTGTGTGTCCAGAGCTGTCTGTTTACAAAATCTGTATGTCATAAGATGACTGTACTGTGTCATATGTCTCTTAGACTGTGTGTCCAGAACTGTATTTCTCTAACAGTACTCATTGTGTTTCTAATATTCAATTTCTTTTGAGCTGTATGTGTCACCCAAACTATACCTCTTAGCTGTTTCTGTCTCATGTTCCAGACTGTGTTTCTTTAGTGCTGTAAATATTCTGAGCTGTGTCTGTTCCTGTCTGTGTGTCTCCTGAACAGTGTCTTTCTCTGGCTGTGTGACTCCCATGTGGTGTGTCTCCTGAGCTGTGCCTGTACCAGGCTCTGTTTGGATCTCCTGAACTGTATCTGTGTCAGGTTGTGTCTCCTGAGTTGTATCAGCTTCAGTCTGTGTATCTCCAATGCTTGTGTCTCCTGAGCTGTATCAGTCTCAGTCTGTGTGTCTCCCAGACTGTGTGTCTCCTGTGCTGTATCAGTCTCAGACTGTGTGTCACCCATACTGGTAGTGTCTCCTGAGCTATATTTGTCTCAGGGTGTGTGACTCCCAGACTGTGTGTCTCCTGAGCTGTATCAGTCTAAGGCTGTGTGTCACCCATGCTGGTATTGTCTCCTGAGGTGTATTTGTCTCAGGGTGTGTGTCTTCCACACAGTGTGTCTCCTGAGCTGTATCAGTCTAAGGCTGTGTGTTTCCCATGTTTTTGTCTCCTGAGCTGTATTAGTCTCAGTCTGTGTATCTCCCATACTTGTGTCCCCTGAGCTGTATCAGTCTCAGTCTGTGTGTCTCCCATGCTGGTATTGTCTCCTGAGCTGTATTAGTCTCTGTCTGTGTGTCTCCTGAGCTGTATCAGTCTACGTCTGTGTGTCTCCCATGCTTGTGTCTCCTGAGCTGTATCAGTCTCAGTCTGTGTGTCTCCCAGACTGTGTGTCTCCTGAGCTGTATCAGTCTCAGGCAGGGTGTCTCCCAGACTGTGTGTCTCCTGAGCTGTATCAGTCTCAGTCTGTGTGTCTCCCATGTTTGTGTCTCCTGAGCTGTATTAGTCTCAGTCTGTGTGTCTCCTGAGCTTTATCAGTCTACGTCTGTGTGTCTCCCATGTTTGTGTCTCCTGAGCTGTATTAGTCTCAGTCTGTGTGTCTCCTGAGCTGTATCAGTCTACATCTGTGTGTCTCCCATGCTTGTGTTTCCTGAGCTGTATCAGTCTAAGGCTGTGTGTCACAAATGCTGGTATTGTCTCCTAAGCTGTATTTGTCTCAGGGTGTGTGTCTTCCACACAGTGTGTCTCCTGAGCTCTGCCTGTTTAAGGCTGTGTCTCCCATGCTGTTGTGTTTTCTGAGCTGTTTCTGTCTCAGGATGTGTGTCTCACAGACTGTGTGTTTTCTGAGCTGTGTCTGTCTCAGGCTGTGTGTTTCCCAGGCTGTGTGTTATCTGAGCTGTGTCTGTCTCATTAAGTGTGTCTCCCATGCTGTGTGTTTCCTGAGCTGTGTGTGTCCCATGCTTGTGTTGTTTTTTGAGCTGTGTTTGTCTAAGGATATGTTTCCCATCTGTTTTTTTCTGAGCTGTATCAGTCTCAGGCTGTGTCACCCGTGCT